GACGCAGATCGAGCTGAAAATAAAATAATTTCAATATCAAGATCATCAAATATACGATGAAATCGTTAAACTGGTAATCTTTCGATTGAAGACATTACATCGTTTAATCAAAAAAAAATTACATTTATTCTTCGAGGTTTCGAATATATATAAGTGAATTGCAACTTTTTGGTACGATTGAGATTTTGGCTATATTTTCTTAATAACTTCTCTTCCCGTTGACCGATCTGGACGATTTTTTTTCTGTGTTATAAGTCTCTGACTGTCCCACTGCCACAGCAAAATTCAGCTCTCTAGCGTGTACTGGCGCGGATCTATGGGTCTTACACTGCAAAAAAATCGTATTTTATAGAGAGATGTGCTAAGAAAAGGAAATTTTCTAACTAGCAAAGAAAAGAAAAAAATAATAGTCAATAGTCCATTTTATACAGCTTGAAACGCTCTATCGAATAATATATTTTTTGTGTTTCTCTCTCTCTTTTTTCGCGCCATTTCGCTCAAAATATTTATTTACAGACACTTCTTCATTTTTGTGTAGAAGGACCTCATTTCTTAGTTTTCTCCCCCTGGCCATGACTTGAAGGAACGGGAAGGTATTCAAAAGAAAGGCCATCGAGCGGAAAACAAATTGATAAAAAAAACTTCTTCCGAACACCTTTTCTTTTCGTTGAAAAAAGACGATCTTTTTCCAAAAATTCAAGTTTTACTCACTTTGTAGAAGGACTTTTTGCAAATTTCATCGTTAATAACTCTTGAATAACTCATCCGTTTTGGCTCAAAATTTTACAGTAGGTATAGTTCTTAGAGTTATATAATTGGTTCAAAATTCAGCCGTCTATCTCTTGTCATTCACGAGAAATTTACATTATATGAAGAAATGTAGAAGGACTTTTTTGAAATTTACTATGTAAATAACTCGTGAACGACTAGTTTGTTTTCGCTTAAATTTTTACTGTAGATATAGTTCTCAGAGTTGTATGTCCATGTAAAAAATCGGCCTTATATCTCTTATTGTTCTCGAGATATTTACGTTATATGATGAGCTGTAAAAGGACATTTTTGATTTTTTATGGTACATTTACATTGGAGTAAGGCGTATCTCAACTAATATACGGTAAAGTGTTGGGAAACTTCTGCTGTGTAACATAGGCATAGAGTATAATAAAATGCACCGCTCATATATGGTTATGATCTACTTTCAGTTTTTCGCACCAATCATACCAAAAAGTTGCAATTCACTCATATATATATATATCTCACAAGAATGAAAATAGTTGTGCAATTATATATGAAAAAAAAGAATTTTTATCTTTGACAAACTAAAAAGAGAATGTGAAAAGATAAACTGTTATCTTTTTGTTGAAAATATAAGAATAAAAAAAAAGTTGTGATTAGTTGTTTTACACAAAAGAAGATATCGTAGTTGAAGATTGAGTCAACTATCTTGATGTTCTTTATTTTCCATATTTATTTGTAATGTCATTTCATCTAGCATAAAAATAGAATGTATATCATCTTATAATATGATCTATTTACATAAAAAGAAAAATGAAGTTAAAAGAATTAAATGATTTACTTTCGTACTCACGTCCCAAATACCTTGATTTCGATTCCCTTTTAAACCATTCTAGATTTACTTTAGGGTGTAGGTATGGATTTTTCGTCATCTATCCTAGCACACTCACACCCAATCACACCCTGTAAAAAATAAGTGGAGAATAATAAACTCTAACTACTCGTTTATTACCATTAGATAAGCCCTCTTTAGGTATATGAGTATAATCTATTCTTTCATAAATCTTTTTTTCATCAACCTTGGCAAGTGTTTGTAACCCGTGTACTGTTTTCTTTTTTTTATAAATCCTTTTTGAGTATATGAGAATGTGAGTGTAAGTCAATGAAACGTTCACATCAACACTCTCAAGGTTCCACAATTAACTTATTAAACTACTTCTAGTAACAATTTAAATCAAAGTCAATAGGAGATATTGTTTCAATTATGATGAAATAGAAGTTGTCGATGATGATTGATTATCCGAAGACAGAAACAAATTAATATAGTCAGCATAACGTGTTTCGATATCTTCCCGATTGAGATCAAAATCAGCAAGTGAGTATGTATGACGACCTTGTTTTCCTTGAGGATTTTTGAGAAGCCAATCATGCATAGCCATTTCCATTTCATTCGAACAATGAAGATTAAAATAATCATATATTTGATGGACAACACCAATTGGATCTTTCATCAAATTGTCATAAGTAATATCGAATATATGTTTTTTCGATTGAGCAAGTATACCATTTTCTGATGTTCGAAATTTCATCATACATTCCATTTCTTTATCGACAAATTGACAAGATCGTTTTATTATTCTATCGCGACTGATAGAGTTTGTTTTGTCAAAATACGAGTCAGCAATTGCCAATGATAACTTATACATTGACGGAAGAACTTCGTCAAGACGTCGATGTGTCATGATTAATAATGCATTCGGATAACGTTGAAGCAATTTATCAAAATAAAAAATATGAAACGGTGATTTTAATAGCCAATGCGATTTTGGCATGTCAACAGTATTTAACATACGTAAAAATGTTTCATGATAGTCATACACATATTCTTTGTTAATTTCCTTACGAATCCAACTCTCAGGAGTGTCATCTTCATCATCAGATAGAAGAGTAACCATGCAAAAATAGCCAGCTTGACGAAGAATACTATAATCTTCTTCAATATCAAAATGTGCATGAGATGCAGATATTCGCATGAGCATATCGGACACTTGTTCATTGTCTTGTTGAACAGATTTGAAAAGATCAAGTCGTCGTTTTTGTCCAATCGAATCGGATCGCGGAATCGGTGGAACAACTTCAACCTCCATATCAGTGAATAATGGTGCACGACAATTCGGATCGCAGGCAAGCAAATTGTAGAGCAATGTTGTACCTGTACGTGCAAAGCCACAAATTATTAAGGGGCCGATAGTAGGCAAATTTTGATTGAAAACTTCATTGTGTTCGACTGCATAATTTAGAACACGCTTACAATTTGTATGTAAATTATGAAATTCGGATAGAAAAAAATTTCGACCAATAGGTGTTATATAGTCATTACGAAGTACACTTTGGCGATATGATTCGAACGTACGGAGTATATCACTGTGATAACCAAATCGATTTTTGGCTTGTTCAGTCAAATCATCTTCGTGTAAAACAGTATCAGTCACATAGTCATTAGTCGTTTGATCTGATGTCGTACTCATCGCATTAATGAGCAATTGTTTTATATAAAGGGCTGAGAAGCGAATATTCTGTATGTGTGTGTGCTTTTTATATAAGAGCCACCATACAAGGGCGAATAATAAAAGTGTGTCAACTAGTAAACTACGAGAGAATAGAAGCAAACATGAAGAGAAATATCATGAGAATCTCGACAGGTATACTCAGAAGAGAAAAACAAGTTATATACATTGGTTAACTTCATTTTTGCCCTTTGCTCGACAATAAGCATATGTCGTAAAAAAAAAGAATAAGACAAATGCAAAGATACAGTTATCAAAGACTACGATTTAAGTGATCAATAAAATAGATCAAATGATCAGTTAGCTACATAATTATAATACCAGTATATTCAATGATTTCCCAGTAAAATAATTGAGTTATCAATAAATTGAATGAATGATCAATATATTACTTAAATGTAGTGAGGTATCTAGGAAGTGGCTAGGAAGGACGCCACTCTTCTACCAGCAAGAAGAAAAACTTAATAATTATCTTGAAATTTTTATAGTTTTTCTAGCATGTTATATAGCTCTAGAAATTTAGTTGGCGAGAAGTAGATGCGCCTTTCAACTCTAATAGAGTTTTACTTGAAAAAAATATTCCTGTTCGAAAAAAAAGGGTCCCATATATGGATCATAACCAGCAATTACTTACACCTATTATGAGTTTAGAGTAATACAGAATACAAAAAGTGTAGAAGGTGTATTGGTAGCAGAGGCTGATTTTTGGCCAATCAAAGTAAGTTTTTTTTCAGAAATTGACAATCTTCTCAGTAAATCGATACATATTCTATAGGTATTCGAAATAAAGAAATGATTATCTCATCTAAAATTGCTGCTTTTCTTATGTGAAGTTCGAAATTCGTAAATCTTTTGTAATCCGACCTAACCCGAGGTCAAGTATGTTTTTTCATGACCCAACCCGACTCGTGTCGGAGACTGGCACAGCTGGAAAGAACATTCTCCTTTATCGAAATATCCGAATTTTCTCGTTGTGAAACTCTTCTAAAAATATTTTAGCCTATATCGACCTTTTTCATCCTGATGAGGGTGAGGGTGAGGGTGAAGAATGAGAGTCGGTGAAGTCTTCCCTGAGCCAGCCGCTTACCCACTCTCACATCCATCTACCTTTCTGTTTATCTATTTGTTTGTACAAAGCTACTGAATAAAAACAAGCTGACACGAAAAAAAATGCGTCATTCTCATGGTTAAAAATTATTTTACTTAGAATAAGAATATGAACACAAACATTAGAACAACATCATCTTATCTAAACATCATGCATTAACTGCAAATTATAATTGTTGGACTTGTTTTTCTCTTTTGTGAAAATGTTAACTTATCCTCGGCAACTGTCTTTTATGCCGTAAAACCGATTTACGGGTATAAATAGAATTTCACCTACCGATCTTGTCTGAGACTCTTTTTTTTTCTTTTATAGAAGCTCACTCTATGGAAGTATTTTTTCCTACAACCCGACATCATCAAAATTTTTATTTTTTGCAAATTTCTCATTTCACATCGATGATAATAGAACATCTATGTATTATTTTGTACTTGGACCTGTAGCTATCGTGAATAGTGGTTCTTCATTTATGTACATGCCTGTACAATGTGGAATTGGACCTCAACGTTTATTTCTATTCGTTTTCGATATGAATAAGAAAATGTACAAGCAAAGTCGATGGATTTTACATAATGAACATTGAAGAGTACAATATGACAACATTAGATGTTATTCGAAATTATACTCAACAAAACAGTTCACAATATGCCCTTCCAAAAAGTAGTTGCTCAGTGTTTGATTACGAGGAAAATTGGACTGTAGAAGTTCGAACACGAGACGAAAGTCCTTTGATAAAAGCATATTTTATTAAAATGGGTTTAAATCTTGTTGGGAAGAAAGAAGATATTGTTACTGAGTTTCATCTAATGCCAAATGTTGATTTTCTTATTACGATGATTTATGACATAAAGACAAAAACTATATTGAGAACACAGCTGCGTAGCTTTATGGCTAATGATCTTGTCATGCTCTGTATGAACCCTTACACAAGTGAGCTTACTAATGAAAAACTTCTTTTGAAAACGCCAGATTCATGGGTAGTGAAAGATGTTCAAGCCGTTTATGATGAATCAACTCGTCAAATATTACTCATGATTCATCATAAAGAAGTTCTTACATTGGAAGATAAATATTGGATAATGCTCGTTGAATTTCATACTATGCAAATAAAAGATAAGAAACAAGATACTCCGATACAAGAATTTGAAACGTGGAAATTATTCACTCTATAAACACAAAATTTTATTTTAATAAAGAGATCAAATCAAATAAGTTAAAATATTTTTCATGTACGCATTTGATGCTAATATCAGATTTATATATCTTGTTTAGAGGAAAAAAAAGATAGGTTATAACAATGACACAACGTCTCCTTAGTGTTGTTAACGATGATATATCGTAAATGTCCATAGCTTAAAAAGTATTTGAACGAAAAATTGAAAATTCTTGAAGGTGAGTATAACTACCACATTACTAGATAATTTGATGTTGCTTATATTTATAAGAGTTCGGGAATATTCTTATAATTAGAAAAATTCTTCGTACTCTATTCAAAATAATCGATTTCTAAAAACTCTGAAATAAAAACATTTCTGCAGAACAAATGGTACTCAATTAGAGAGAGAAAGATGTATATTAAGCCTTGCTTTTAGCAGAGCAGAGAAATAGGAAAACACAATTGACAAGTAATTCATCTCGATTTTTCTTCATCTCTGAGAGAATGTTTTTAAATAGAGAAAGATTAAATATTCCTGCTATTGTGAGCATTCTCAATTAAGAAATACAAATGACGTAAGGAATAGTATTTGTAATTGAAAAATGTTTTTCTTCACTCTTTTTGCATTAGTGTAACTTTCAAAAGAATCCTTTAATTATGCTACTAGATTTTTGTAATCTACATTTGTGTTTGTTTTCTTTATTTCTCCTTCATCATTGCATATCAAACTAATTAATTAGTTCTTCTATGGAACTCAGATCAAAATCCTTAGAATTCCGTTTAGTTTCATTGAAATTACCTAGCACGTTATGACTCATGATGAATTTTATATTTGAATGTGATTTATTTGTTAAAAATTCGTTTTAGCATGTCTCTTTTTAGAAGATAACGATTTCTTCCATAATATTTTACTGAAGATTTTTGATAATGATGAATTCAATAGATTTAATAAAATTCGACGGTTAGATTTGTTGATTTCCTTCGATTTAAATCCAAGCTTTTTTTACTGTCTTTCACGCTTTGCCCAATGATCATATATAGATTATAATAAAAAAACTTGATGTTATATCCTTGATGTTTGTCGTTGATTGTTATTATTTTTCATATTCGAGAAATTTAATGTGCAGTACTCAATTGCAAACTAGTTACTTTCAGACTTTGCAGACATTCAAGTACTAGATCTTTTTCAAGGTGTGACATATACATCGAAACCTAGAGCATTATTAGTCCATTCTCATATTATGTTTAGAGCTGCAGTAGTTCTTTTACAGCAATAGAATATAAAGATTGATTGACAATACATGTTTAATAATGTCTACTTTCAACATTATTGGACTGACATTTTCCAGAGAAGCTTATTTTATTGCTGAAGTTGCCAAATTAGTTGATATTCTCCTGTAATATCATGCGGTACAACTAATCCTGATTTATCTGATAGAAATGCATATCTGGCTTTTTACCGCACTATAACTACCTATCAAAAGGATGAATTTGAATCTGGTGGCGCTGAAACAATAAGTCGTGTATTTAGTAAAAATAAATTGACAGTTAATCAAACAGTAATATTTGATATTGTGACATTCAGCATTTTGGATGAGTTAACAGATTTTTTATCTAGCAGTTCAACATGAATTGTACTACTATGCGTAGAAACTAGCTACACACCATTAGTTATAAAATATGCGCTTGATTTTAATGTTCTTGGACAACAATTCACATGGATATGATGATCAAGTATTTCATTAGAACATTTTCAAACAAACCTCATATACAAATTCAATCGGAATACGTTCTATAGAATCCATAACAGAAAATGTTGTCAGTGCATCAGTGAATACATCATTATTAAAATTCGATGCAACTTGGGTATTAATTCAATAACTGCAACAACTTTGTTCAACATATACTAATCATTCTTCATTCTCTTATGATCGTCTTTTTCTTAATGGTAATTCATTTTTTAATAGGCATAGTACTACGAAATTTCTTGGTATATCTGATTCAATAAAGTTTAGCATAAACGTGACAGATAGAATAGATGGTGTTTATTATGTTATACAAAATGTTTAACCATTTGTAAATAGGATACATTTTGTGTCAGTATTGCAATGATCTCATTCTAATAACTGAAAAATATATTCACAAATAGATATCATCGTCTGATCTAGTAATTCATTAAGATCTTCTACTAGTTTTGCTGGAGTTGCATGTGCCAACTTGAAAATTTGGGTGTGGGTGTGGGTATGAGTTCATCTTCTCTCAACCCACACCCACATCTACACCTACACTCTACATCCACACCCACATCCCACACCCTGAATAGTCGCTACACAGAGCGCGACAAATGTAGGGCACCTTGTAGAGCTTTCCTCAGTAAAACTACGGATGCGGGTACCCATACAAGTACTTGTTCAGTAAGCGTACTTTTATGGGAACCACACGCAGTACCTACATCAGTACAATTACTGAGAATTTTCGAAGTACCTATATTGAGTACCCTGCTAAGGCTTTCTCAGTACATGGGTATCCTAAACTCAGTACTCTCTCTAGGGTAGAAACTAATAACTAAGCTGATGGCACATTTCATTTTGTATGAATTCTATTTATACGAGCCAATCCTCAATATAAGCAACTAACGTAAATAAGTTTGACTGAAAAAGGTTTAATTTTCTTTCTTTAAGTTATTTATACCTCTGGATAAAAGTCTTTCTCCCTCTTTGTTTCTATGCTATCATACTTTGCATCAAATTTATGACCAAATAAAGATATGACATAAGAGTTTTATTTCATTGTGATTTATACCATATTCAAATAAAAATCTTATGTAGTATCTTTACACGGCAATAAATTTGATGCAAAGTATGATAGTATAGAAATAAAGAGGGGGAAAGACTTTTGTCCGAGGGTGTAGTTATATAGAATATAAATGCCACTAGTGATAGATCGTATTCTTTAGAACAAATAGTGCCGTTATAAATCGCACACAAAATTTAGGATATGTTATCTATATTGTTTTAAGAGCACTCTTCTAACCTACGATTGTTTTCTTTTTTTTTGCATTAAAATATTATCCGCTTCTTTTCCATTGTACGAGCACGGGATAAGTAAAATAAACTCGTTTGCTAAGAGTATATCGGACAAAAAAGGGTTAAAATTAGAATTCCTCGTTGAGATCACGAAAAAAATTTGACGTTTTTAGAGACATATTAGAAGGCCTCCTTGTAACTTGTGAATGATAAAACACAATAGGAGACCCCGAGTCTTCTAATGTGTCGAGAGCTTTACTACATAGCTATGTACCAATTGGGGTGGAATCTCAAAGAATGATCCTAGGAGACTTACTGTAAAATAGAAAAAGATGAGCCCTACTCTACAGGAAACGTACCCAAGTTCGCTTAGAAATTACTTGAAGAGTTTCATCAAATCAGATAAATTCCTTCTAGCGTAAATCAACACGCGATGCTCTACCATCCTCCATAAAAGTATCCTTTCAAAATGAAAAAAAAAATTTTTCAAAAAATTTCCAGAGGAAGATACGTGGATTTTACAGAACAAGACTCTCCATCAAGAGGCCTAGAGGGTATGGGAATTCTTCGAAAAACAATTTTTTTCGTTTTGAAAGGATATTCTTATGGAACGTGATAGAGGATCATATGCTTATTTACACTAGGTAGAATCTACCTGGTATGATGAAGCTCTTCAAGTAATTTCTAAGCGAACTTGAATACATTTCCTATAGAATAGGGCTCATTTTTTGTATTCTTCAGTAAGTCCCCTAGGACCATTCTTTGAGATCCCACTCCAATTGTTATATAACTATGTAGTACTCAACCTGTGCTCTGAAACCACATCAACTCGTGTTCCATTCATGTGCCAGCAGTGGGGATCGGACCCTCATTAAATGGTGATTTTGGTCAAAATCATGATTTTGTGAAAGATCTCCTGAGCGGTAGAAACTATGTAGAGAGCTAAAGTTTTTACTGGATTATGTATTCAGTGAGATCTCTCCATAGCCAATATTTCAACTTTCTAACACGATTCCTTCATGAGATAGACAAATGCACAATAGACTGGAAAATGACTATTTTTCCATGTACTTGATAGCATTGCACAACTCTTCAATAGTTTATCCATCTGAGCTCGGGTTTTTTTTTCGGTAATACGCAATTATGATATCTACTCATAGTAAAAGTTTCAAGTCAATTGCATGTATCCTTGATGAGATAAAGACGTTATAAAAAATGACAAAAAGTGCACTTTTTTTGATGATAGTGCTCTCAGAAAAATATCAATATCTTGAGAACAGAACAATATTTTTTCAAACGACTTGCGTCAAAATTCTTAGAACTCTTGCCTCTACAACATATATTCAACTTAGCAAAATCGGACAACCTCGATTGAGAAGGTTTTGTGGAAACCGGTCGTGGCTTATGTGGACTGACTCATAAACCAGATAGTGACATTTGGTACTAACACTTGTCCAGGCAAATTTCAAGATCCCAAAGTTTTGATTGCATATTTAAGTAGTACTAGGTTAGTAGTCTTTGAGAACAAAAAAAATCAGCAAATTCTATCACGCTGATCTGGAGAAAGCCTATCATGAAGATAAGTTATTTTTGATTCTAATATATAGGGAAATCAAGGATGACCTCAAAAAATTCAGGCACACTTTTTGAAGATATGGACATTGTTGAATATGATGGTTGTATTCCATATTTCAAAATGTATATGTGGTCAAAATTTCAGAGCTCTATCGCATACTGATGACGAGACATCGTCAAAATAGCTTATACAAGAGATTGATCAAAACTTTTTCATATTAATAAAACTATTTTGGGTGCTATTAGTCGGATAAGCGTATCTCAGTCAAAGTTCAACCTTTAAGTCTAAAAATTTGGTTCAATATCTAAAAAAATTTGCTCTACAAAATGGGATAACTTTCATCAAAATTTGAGACTATCGATTGAGCAGTAATATTGGCATTCAGTCGTCGCTCGTGCACTGACTCCTAAAGGT